TGCCATGCCCTGGCCCCAAAGTCTATTTTTGGTACTCCCTCAGGACTTCCTTGCTCTGCTCCCCTTGCTGTTCTATTGAACACCCTTAGTGTTTTCCCTGGGTGTGGTGGGGTCAGATCGGGCACAATTCTGCACTGTGTCTCCAGTGTTGTCCCATGTAGGGCTATGGGTCTGTGAGGGATGTCATGTCTCATAGTGGTCTTATGGCGGGACAGTCCCGATTTTTAACAATTTTTCCCACGTCCCACAGCATTTTTAAAATGTCTTGATTTTTGGAAAAAATGCATGACAAGCTAGGGTATATGGTTTTCGGCTGCCATATGGCTATTTCGCCAGGATATAAGTTTTATCAGTGGTGTCCCGTTTTTGTCCCACTTTACCCATGTTAAAATCTGGTCACCTTATCCTACAGTCCTCTCTGTGCATTGGCTGCTCTGAGCAGGAATGTTGTCCTCAGGGCTTGATGGGCCAAGATGTGCTCCACTCTCTCTTCCTCCCCCTTCATTTGCTCCTGTGTGCTCTGATCAGACATGTCCCTCTCCCTGAGCTGTAGCTTCAGTGCTGTCCTCTGAAGTGCATTCTTCTGGGGGGCTGTAATTCTTTATGGGAGCAGAATGTCTCATCTTTCTCCCGCTGAGCAATTGGTGGGGTCACACTGCTGACTTTGTGGCCAGCAGCTCAATATGTAACCCACTGTGGGTCAGAACCAACTTGATGGCATGGGTCTGGTTTTGCTTTTTTCACCAGCTTGCAGGGAAAACACTAACCATATTCACCAACAATCTCTATACCTATCTTTGAAATAATTGGAAGCACTTTCAGTATTTACCAAACAGAAAGAACAAAATAAGAGAGCCAAGCCAAAGCCCACAAATCACATGTTGCTTTCCACAAAGACAAAGCTTGTAACTAACAAATCATGTATTTGCCTGTATAAAGGATCCCTGGTGTTGTAATGGTTAAAGCGCTCAACCCACCAGCTGCTCAGCAAGAAAAGCACATGGCAGTCTGCTTCCATAAAGATTACGACTTGGACATCTATGGGGCAGTCCCACCCGGTGCTATAGGGCTGTTATGAGTTGGAAACGACTCAGCTGTCACAGGTTGCCTAAGGACAGAACCCAATTGTAGAATGTAAATTAATGCAACCCACTGATAGCTTTAGCGTTCTATATGTATTTATGCACAAGGTGCATGTGTGTGTGTGTGTGTGTGTGTGTGAAAATAGGAAAAAGCAATGATAAGTAGAATAACTATACCATCGTGCCGTATAGTATTTTAAAGGGGTTGTTTTAATCCTCTATCCCAGCTCTCTCTGAGGTAGCATGGTACAGGTAAATGCCCATTTGGTAGCAAAACCACTCAGGAAATCCTTCTTACTGGTTTTATACAATTCTTCCACTTCCTTCTTCCCACGATGTCTCCTTCCCTCATTCAATTTATTTCTATCTTATCACTCTTCACTCTATAATCCATAACTTGAAATTATAATTTTCAGTAGTAGTAAAGATAGCACTTACTCATGACCTAGTTGGTACAAAATGATTTGGTAGCTCAAATCCTAGTCTAACACACACGCGTGCAAGCGCATGCAAGCGCCATGGAAGAAAGGCCTGGAGATCTGCTTTCATAAAGCCAGGAAAATCCTACGGAGCAGTTCTATTCTGGAATGCATGGAATGCACCAGCAAGATGTTGGGGTTTTACTGTTATTTCATGTGCACCTTGACAGGCACCCTAGTGGTGGTACAATGGTTAAGCACTCAGCTGATAAGCAAAAGGTGGACAGTTCGAACCCTCCCAGCTGCTGCATGGGAGGAAGACTCGGAGCTAAGAAAATCCTACAGGGCAGTTCCGCTCTGTCACATGGAGTCACAGAATGGACTCAGTGGCACCCAATACCACCACCTGCATGACCTGGAAGCATTTCCCCCACTTAACCAATGAGGAGGCTGGGGTTGACAGCTCTAAAGAACAGACCCCATTTGGCCACAAACTAGATCTACGACTAGGGTAGGCCTTCTGGTTTTATGCAGGACACTGCCAGTCTGCACCTGGCTCTGCCCTAATTATTGCTTAATTTGGAGAGTCAGTTATGTTGTTACCTCACCTATAAGCCTCCATAAGGTCCCCTATCTCTTTGTACTTAGTCCATGTTTGAAAAAAAGGATACAGGATTAGCTTGTTCGATTTTGTTTTCCTAAACTGTTTTTGTGATTTCCACTTCCCAGTGGTTAAGACTGAACTTCTCTGGCTGGCTTTTTGCTCAGGTTACTGAAAGGTAAAGTCCAAACTCCCAGATCCTCGATGACCAAAGCAGGTGTGCTCCTGCAGTCACACGCAATAGTTTCTGCCAGCAAGCTGGGCCCCAACAGGGCCTGGCTGTGACACAAACCAGCCAGGTGACATGGAGCCAGGGCTTGGAGTGACGTGTTCTTGATCAGCCCCACCCCCTTGGAGGGGACAGAACTGGAGATTGAGTTCGATCAAATAGGTGGGGATTCAATTGTTATCTATGTAATAAAACCCCAATAAAAGCTAGACTCCCCCACCGTGCCCCCCATCTCTCGTGAGCTTCCAGGGTTGGCAATACCCCCTGCACGTTAACGCCCAGGGCAGTGGTTCTCAACCTTCTGAACGCCATGGCCCTTTTATACAGTTCCTCATGTTGTGGTGACCCCCAACCATAACATTATTTTTGTTGCTACTTCATACTGTAATTTTACTACTGTTATGAACCGTCATGTAAATATCTGATATGCAGGATGTATTTTCATTGTTACAAATTGAACATAATTAACCATAATTAAAGCATAGTGATTAATCACAAAATATGTAATTATATATTGTGAAATACTTGTGTTTCCTGATGGTCTTAGGCGATCCCTGTGAAAGGGTCATTCGACCCCCAAAGGGGTCTCAACCCACACGTTGAGAACCGCTGTCCTAGAGGGTAGCATGTCCGGGAGGACACAGACGCTGTGTCTGAAACCCTTTCAGGCCCAGGTTCTCTCGTTAGTTGGTCCACAAGTCTCTTCCGTTAGTTGGTTCTAATGGGTTTCCTTTCGCTATAATAAATCTGTAATAGTAAGCACAGAGGCCTTCAACAACGTGGGTGCTAAGAACGCCAAATGCCTCCACAAAGATCCACCTATAACGTTCTACTTACCCCAAACTGCCCACAGCCTACTATCAACCAAAGAAGCCTTACAGATAACATCAAGTCCATGAACAGTTTGTGACGCAGTATGTGCCGCACCCACATAAATGCTGCGTTTTCAGTACAACATAAACAGATTATTTCACAAAAAGTGCAAGATGTCCACACCGCCGTGGTGGCTTCACTAATTTCCTTTAATTTTTCCACAATGGCCCTTACACGGCAGCCACAGCCTCAGACCTTGACAGTTTCTTGTAATGTTGTGACTGTTCTCTGCTTCTTGGTAGTACTTCCAAGTTCACTAGTTGAACTTCATATGGGTCCCTTGATGCTATGGAAGGTTGACAGTATTGTATTATACATGATGAAAACATGCAAGAACTGAACGAGGTCCCTTTGCACTCTGATGGGCAATTCACTGGACAGATGAACTGCTCACGCACAGATGATTAGGATCACGGTAGATTAAAACAAGCCTACACTTACATGGCCTCATGCAGTTCAAACCTGTGTTCTTCAGGGTCCAGCTGCCTAGCATTTCCCAGAGTCCTGTGAGGCCTTAGAATGTTAGCAAACCTGGGGCTGAGCCATCTGTGGGACCCCCAAATTTGTAACCAATTGGTCAGATGGTGGCCCAGGAAGCCCCAAACTTGAACCCCTCAAAAAAAAAACCACCACCACCACACAACAATTCACTGCTATTGAATGGATTCTGATGCATAGCAACCCTACAGGACAGAGTAGAACTGCCTCTGTGGTTTCCCCAGGGCATCTTCGGAAAGCCTCCTCTTTCTCCCGAAGAGCGGCTGGTGGCTTCAAACAGCTGACCTTGTGGATAGCAGCCCCATGCATAACCCACGAGGACTTCTTGCAAAGTTACAACTGGTGTGTGAGGGGAGAGCGGTCCCACGTCACAGGAAGACTGTGTCCCGGTCTGTCCAGTTCGGCAGACTCATTACAACAGTCTAGCTGAGCCTAAAAATCCTGACCTCTATCCACCTCTCCCTTTGCTAGACCAATATCTACTTCCTTCCAACCATTTCAGACCCCATCCAACTATGTAAGGCTTTTTAGAAATACTGAGTTAACTGACACCTGGGGTCAACAATGAGTATCAGGAACTGGAAGAAAAAAAACACGCCAGGCTTGGGATGTGTCTTTTATATGGTCTTCCATTTAACTTAATCTATCCCCCTAAGCCTTCTTAGCTGGGCTATACAGCTTCACTTCTGCGAGGGCTCAGACAGTCCCCACGGTAAGACAGTTTTGTTGGTATGAGATAACTAGACCTAGACCTCCTACCCTAAGCAGAAATGTGCCAAGAGGGGGTGCCTGGATACCAGGTCATGAAATGTCTGTACCTACAAACAACATTTAAGTCCGGAAAACAGAAAAAAATTATAACTATATGAGATTGTGAAAATAAAAAGGGGGAGGGCAGATGAGAAATTGCTAGGGTGGGGCTGTCCCCAAGCGCCATCGTCCCTCCCACACCTTAGGCAAGTACAAAAACTGGTTTTGAAGTAAATACATTTATTGATACCCATTTTATATAGCTCAATGAAATAATCTATAAATATAAAAGCATTTTTCTTTTGGATATCACCACGGTCCATGTAAATAGTCAACAGTTGGATCGTCTGCAGGAAGCACTCCAAGCCACACTGTTGGTTTGCAGACCTGACGTACAGATTTCATAACACAGTGGCACTTATGTACTCAAGTGGCTTTGGAATATGACTATTGGGCATGTGGAGTAAAAACCTTATGTCAATTCAAATCAACAGAAGAGGTATCAACCACCAAGAACAACAGAAAAGAACAAGTGAAGAATTAATATTCTGGGTGAAGAGATAGCATAGCTGACACTCAGTGTCAGAATACCGGAGACAACGGTGTGAAACAACACATGCTGCGGCCCATGTGCTAGCTCCAATGCACGGTGGACGCTCCACCAGGTCCTCGGTCATTAGCAGGAATCGAGGCAGCTTGGGGTCGAAGGTGTACAGTGGCTGATACCAAGATTAAAGAAGAGTGATCTACTTATTTCAGTGATATGAAGAGTTTCTATCCTAGGAGGAGGAAATTAAGGGGGGGGAGTAGTTCTTTTTTATTCCCTTTGTTACACTGATCATGGTGTTTATCTAATGCAAGAGGGAAAAAAATTACACATGAGGTACCCAAAAACACAGGTGCAAACACTGTCCTCAGCTCCAGAGTTCGTCAACATTCCAAAGGACGTAGGGAGCCAGTGTTGAGCCTTGCTCTCGGCTGAGGCAGCAGAAAACCTTTGCTCATTGCTTCAGTAGCAGACAGGAATGTCTCTTGTTGCAGTCGGTCGGTCGGGGCGTCTTCTGAGTTAGCAAGCCAAAGCCTTGAAAGGGTCTTCGGTGTTCGGTGTCCAGAATTGAGAGGCAGTGTTAGAACTTAGCGGGGTGGGAATTGTAGAGACTACTCAAATGAAAACCTTAAGTGAAGCATTAAAAAGTCCATTTCTTCTTTATCCGCAACTGGTAATTGATGGCAGCCTTCCCTGGCCAAGATGGGTCCCTGGTGTGATCTCCAGGTCCACAAGAGCCCACTTAGTCACGTGGTATCCCATGCAGGGGAAAGACACGCTTGAGTTCTGTGGTCTCTAGTTTGTGTTTGTTTGTTTTGCGCCATTTTTAAGAAGAGAGCGAGAGATAGACAGACTGACAGAGATAGTAGTTTCAGTTGTACATCACTGGTTGAGGGGGTTTCCAACCACATGAGAAACTCCAGCCCTTGTCTCGAGTGGGACAGGCACCGGGTTCCCACAAGCGGCAGGCAGATCCCTTGTCCTGTAGCATGTGACGTCTGACCCTGGAGTGAAGAGCAGGCTGGCACAGAGCCCCAAACCACCGGATCGGGCTAGATGGCGTTTCGAGGCGTGCCGTTGTGTGTCAACGCTTTCAGGCTTGGGGCACTGGTCTGGTGACCGCAGCTCCGGTGAGATGTCACGCCCACCTCAAATACCTCGTGAATAGCTTTCCGGAAACAGTGGAAGTTGTAGTCTATTAACCCTACGAGAGAGAAAGAGATCAGGTGCCCTGCGGGTGAGTGGCAAGACTTGGCAAGACAAAGAAAAGTAACACAGGGATACAACACTTGACTGAATTCTCTATGTTGGAAACAAAAAAAAAGCACACGGTCAAATCAGCAATGCTGGTTACCTTTGGGAACTGGCAGGGGTCACGGTGAAGAGCAGGGGAGGGAGGACAAGGGATTTTTAGAAAGCAGCACACAGCACCTAATTTGTTTCTGTATTTCCATACTGTTCATGTGATGGCTTTGTGTTTGTTTTTCAATTTTAAAAAGCACGTATTACTATAATAATAGAAAAGCAGGCAAAGACCAGCGGGTCAGAGTGGCTAGGACATGTGTGTTCATGTGTTAGAGAGAAAGGCCTGGAGAGACTCCGACGGAAAGAGTCCAGGTTTTTTCTGGTCAAACCCATACAGAGAAAGGGACCTGGCAGTGGAGTGTCCATGAGTTTGCATCATTACATTACAGAGCTCTCCGGGGCGTCCAGGGCCTCTGAGACCTGTCTCAGGGATCACTACCCAGACACAGTGGAGGAGAAGCACAGGTCCTGGAAAGCCAGGCTGGACCAAGTGTTACTGCAACTGATACTAAACTATTCAGACTGTGGTGGTTTTTAATTTAATCACGCTTCTGTATAAGGGTAGATCACAATGGAATCAACTACTGAAAAAAAACAAGTTCCAGTACATTTCTCAAATAAAAAAACACAAAAACATTGTTCCCCTCAAACAAACTCCCACCATCTGGACGCCTTACCTAAGGGAAAAGATTCAAAATAAGAAAAAGTAACACACCTAAAGGCCTCCTTGCCAACCACAGAAGCCCACCTGAACGACGCTCTATCAGCTTTAAGACCACACCAAATGCACTGCCTTCAGGCTGATGCCGGCTCACAGAGACCCTACAGGACAGGGAAGAACTGACTATGTGAGTCTCTGAGCCTGTAATTCTTTATGGAAGTAGAAAGCCTCATCTTTCTCCCTAGAAACAGCTAGAGGTTCCAAACAGCTGACCTTGCAGCTAGCAGCCCAACACAAACATTTTAAAACAATTTTAAAAATTGTAATCACCAAGGTTTATTTGGAGACATCAAAGGGGCAAGCCACGGTCTACCCCCATGAAGTCGTTCCCCAGAAGCCTCTCAGAGGAGTCAGAAAGCGATTTGCTTCATTCCACCCTGAGGAAGCGTGCTAGGGCGACCCGGTTCTGGCAAGAACAAGCTTGTCCCACCTCCCTCCCTCCCTCCCTCCATCCTGGGAGGAATGGGGTGAGTGTGCTTCACAGGTGATGGATGGGTCAGCTGTCAAGTGCTCACAGAGAGCTTGGCAAATGAGCCGATTTGGTCAGGAGATGGTGGGTTAAAATAACTATGGGAATTAACTGAAAAGTCAAGTCAATTTAGTTGTACGTATAGATACATAATGAAACAATTATATCTCCTTTGGGGGGAAGAGCAAAGACGTGTTCCTCTTTCCCACACACCACTACCTACACACAGGTACACAAACGATCTTTGTTCAATGCCCACATTTAACAATCAGCAGAAGCAATCACTAGATTCAAGTCCTACACACCCAAAATAGAAATACAATGGTTCCCACTTGCTCACAGCCATGGGGCTACACTGAGCACCACTGAAGCCCAGAGCTCTTCTAGGCAGACATCGATGAAGCGGCCGCTAACTTCTTTCGACTCTGAGTAGGGGCCACAGTCCTCGAGCAGCACCTAAACACCACCGCCATACGGACATTCCACAGAGACGCTCCACCGGGTCAGTGGCCTTAAACTACCCCCAATGCAGATCACCTGCCTTCTGGGTGATCGCCAGTATTTTTCTTCCTGACACTTCTCACCTACTGACCGATTCAAACCCTCAATCTCTTCTGAAATAGATGAAAACAGGCCCCAGAGGGAGAACAAAACAAAGAGGTGGGCTACCCTCTCTTCCTTCCTCACGCGTCTTTATAATTCAACACTGTTTGGCGGTGTTTCGCTTCATGCAGAAGGGTTTCATTGCACCCCGGCTCCATTAGGAGGTGCATAGTAGCTCTAACAATTAATCTAGGTAAGGCAATTAGGAAGGTACATTTGCTATGAAAACGTACAATAAAATCTATAATCATAGTAAAATATTGTTTGGCTTGTCAAGCTTTTTCTTTTGCAGTTCTCCAGGGCAGCCAATGAAGAGCTGGAGAAAGCAGGCAGAGAGATCATTAAACACACTGCTCATGAGAGCCCGGGTCTGGCAGGTCCCGGAGAGGCCCATGAGGCAGAGTTTCAGGGAGTCTGCACACAATTTCAGGTAGTACTTCAGGCAAGGCAGCTCCCTCTTCAGCTGCCTCATAGCTGATGTTGCTTAAACCAAAGGCATGATGTGGTAAGAGAAATGGCTAATATCCATTGTCCTCCTCTTTAGAAACAGAACCCCAATTTGTGAATGCGCACGTTTGTGCTCCACTAAAATACTGCATTTCCCAGCCTTCTTTACAGTTAAGTCTTGCCACATGACCAGTTATTCTCGCCCCTGAGGTAAGTGGGAAGCACTGTAAGACTTCTATGACATTTCTTTAAGAAAGAAGAGGAAGCGCTCTTTAGTCTACCCATGCCCCTTCTTACTGAGCAGGGTATGGACAAGATGGCTGGAGCCCCAGGAGTCATTGTGAGTCATGAAGTGACCTTGAGAATAGAAGTCAGTGTTAGGAATAACAGAGAAGAAAGGTGCCCTATGTCCTCAAGGATACTGGGAAGCTGCCTTACTGTCCACAATCCTTTGTTCTGGGAGAAAATGAACTTGTGCTCTTGTCTGTTTGCAGCCCAATTGAACCTGACTGATAAACAATGCCTGGAATTTTAAAACTTCTAAACCAGAGAGCAATCTCCTCCATCACAAGACACCTTCCTTCTCTCTACCACCATCCCCTCCTACCGGGCAACAAACGTGTAATCGGATCACACCCTCTCCCACAGGAACGCCTCTGGCAGTCAAGTTTTCAAGTCACTCAATGAACGTTCAGGCCCAAATATTAAAAACACTGAGTGGCGGGGGAGCAGGGAGGGAGGGGGAAAATAAGGAGCTGATACCAAGGGCTCAAGCAGAAAGCAAATTTTGAGAATGATGATGGCAACATATGTACAAATGTACTCAACACAATGGATGGATGCATTGTGATAAGAGTTGTACGAGCCCCCAATAAAATGATTTAAAAAAAACACTGAGTGGCCTCCTCAGACATGGTGTGATTTTGAACAATCTATATTTGACCAGCTGAGAGAAAGTTCTTCCTGAACAACATGACAGAGGTTATAATGGGTCCAGACAAGCAGCACACAGGGCCTATTCCTTATGGGACATAAAACCAACAGCCAGTGACCAGCAGACACTACCCGATGTCTTGAGTACAAATGGGAAAGCAGCCCCAAGAAGGGAGAGCCAAGGGCACAAGTGTCTCCAGGGCAAGATGCCTGGATGAGGCAGGCATCTGGGGAATGTGGACAGGGTCTGGCCAGGCCAGGTAAGACAGCAGAATTACAGGGAACTGGGCAGAGTGCTGGTAATTTGAACCCAGCACATGTGAAAGACAGGAAAAAGACCAGCCTGACTAGAGGGAAGGGCATCAAACCTCCTGGGGAGGAAGTCCTGAGAATCGAAACCATTATGTTCGAGCCAGATAAAAGTGGTCTTTAATATGCAGAAGAAGAAAAATGCAAAGAACTGTAGAGGAAAATTCTTGACAAATTCAACTACATTAGAATTAACTTCTGCGAAAACAAAAAAATAAAACTGATAATCATGGGCCCATGAAAACGGACTGGATATGAGATTCTGGGGGCCTGAAATAGCAGCTTGTTGTTTTTTTAAGTTAAAGAATAGTAATATTACTTTTTTCAAAAGAGCACTCTCCTAGAGATAACTACTGAAAGCTGCATCAATAAGTAATATGCTTCAAATACAGTAGGTAGCAAGATGAAACAACATCGGCTACAATTTTGCTAACTTCCATCTGAGTGATAGGCAAATAATTTATGCTACTGCTTATAGATATGACAGTTTCCACAATAAAAGCTTGAAAATAAGCTCGAGAGGGGTGGTACAGGAGGAGCGGGAGTGAGCCTGACAGCTGAAGCTGGGAGTGGGGCACACGGACACTCACTGAGTGGCTCTATCTCAATGCCTCCATCACCCCAAGTCCAATTTTTTTAACTTAGAATGGAGAGGGGAACAAATTCCTAAAAATCAATACCGGAAAGTTACCAAAGAAACCTGAACACTCATGAAAAGGTGCTTACCCAAGGAAAGATGCTTGCCCCAACTAGTCAAGAAGCAAACCTTAAAACTAAATGAGGTACAGTTCCCCACCTACCAGACAATAACTGAGCGGTCTGACCACAACAAGCATCACCAAGGACAGGGGTGACGGGACTGCTAGGAATTAAAATGATGCGCCACTTTGGAAAGCAATTTGATAAGGTTGAAAATGTAGTTCATAAATTCCACTCTTCAATACATAACCCCCTAGCATTCTCCGGATGAATGAAGGCTGACTTGTTGCAGAATCACTGTGATGCTAAAGCAGCAAGTAAATTAGTTTGGTACTTTGCACCAATAGAATACAACGTGGGAGAGGCAGAGAGGCCCAGAGCTGCTGCCCAGCGGGCCTAGCCTAGCTCTCATTAGTCTGACAGTAGAAATGGAAAGGAAACCCAAGCACACACTCCCAGAACAGAAGCTAAGATTTGGTGAGAACTCAATGTAAGCAACACAGAAGACTGAGACGAGAGAATGCTGACTCACGTCTGGGAAACTATTTCCTCAGGCCCCTTCAGCAATAACAGGATTACCCAACTACAAAGAAGCTTAGACACACCAAAAATGGCACCACTAGAGACTGAAGTAAGTAGCCACCAAGAGGGCCATGAAACAAAACACAAAATAATGATCCATTTTTGACTTTGGCAAGATGACAAAACATTGAGTGAAGGTGTCAGACTAAGAGCTTCATACATGAAACTGGGACATGGGTGCAAGCCCGACCTGGAACGTGGCATTTCCTGTCCGACCTACAGAGACTAACTAGAGCCAGACTGGATGAACTGAGCAGAAGTGAGCAGAAAGATCTGACTGAAGAACATTCATGACTGAGAAAAAGAGAAACTGACGAGATGGCCAAGGAAACAAACCAAAAATCCTGATGAGTAGGGGGAGGGGGAGGGAGGGGAAAAAATGAGGAGCTGATACCAAGGGTTCAAATAGAAAGCAAATGTTTTGAGAATGATGAAGGCAACAAATGTACTTGACACAATGGATGTATGTATGGATTGTGGTAAGAGTTGTACAAGCCCCAAAAAATGATTTAAAAAAAGAAAGAAATCTGAAGACAAATGGAAGAAAAAAACAAACAAGCAGACCCCTGGCCAGTTCAGCGTTAGAGCAGCAAGAGGAAAAGAAGCAAGTGCAGGCCCCTGCCTCGGAAGACTGGCCAAGGCCACTGAAAGCGGCAAGAAGGTAACCTGCAACCTCGCAGGGAAGGCTGTTCCAATGGGACCAGAATTACAGGAGTTACAGGCAATGGAAAGATGGGAAGAGGATGAGCTTCTAAATGGCTGTAGTGGGTGGGTGGGTGGGGTTGAATTCTAAAAAGAAAGAAACGGTCAGAAGAAAAGACAGCTGCCACCCAGATGTGCAGAGGAAAACTGCTCCAGTTTCCCAGGCTGTGACCTTTGGGAAGCTGACCCCCAAGCCTGTTTGCCATGGGGCCTCTGGATAGATTAGAACCACCAACCTTACAGTTAACGGTGGAGCACTTAACTCTGTGTGTCACCCAGAAATGCCAAAAAAATTTTTTTTAAAAACACACACACACAACTTAGGATTTACAAAAAGTCAAAAGAAGGAAAGAGGCGGTCTGGATGTCCCCAAAGGAAAAGGAAGGGACGGTGTGGAAGCACAAACTAGTCCGAGATGGGCTGCTGTGCTGTTTTTAAAGTAACCATTGTGGTGCTGTATTCTGTTCTGTTCAAAGACCTAAAGAATTACGATAAGGACCTGTACGTAAGAATAACTTTTTAAAATGCCATTACCTTTTCGTTCAAAGCTTTCTTCCCTAAGAATGCAGACCAGTGCCAAAAATTTAGTCACTTCTTTTAAATAAAGGACAGTTGTATTATTCAGCTTGATAATTGCCATAGATTCTTTGTCATAGGCACTTCCACTCCCATCTTCCTTCAGCCTAGTTTAAAAGAAAGTGTTTTTCATTATAAGCTTCCCAATAAAGCATTTGGTTACATTTAACTTGCATTATAACAAGTTCCTACAAGAAGAGTATCAGCTTAAATACACTGAAACAGAAGCTGTCCTTTGAGGGCAGGGCTCCCAGACACAGTCCCAGGGACCATTAAAGACAGGGGCACACATCTCCCTACATGTCCGTTGCTGTTACAGATAATCAGGCATTTGGAGGAAAGAAAGGGAAAACACACGGCACTCAAACCAGGGAAACAACTGCGTTGTCAGCCTTTCGCCAGATGGGACAACGAATCGTGTTAGATGGTGTTTTGTAGATGCCTGCTTCCTTTCCTACCTCACGTCACAGCCCCTTATGAGTCCCTGAGAGGAATAGTCCACGAGGGGCTTCAAAAAGCTCGTGGGAAATTTCCATTATTTTTTAATTCCATTTTTCCGAGAACTTTTTGAAGCCCCCTCATACATATCAGACCAATCACATATTTTCTCAGAAAAGTAGAGAAATTCTAAGAGTACTTAAGAACTGTCTCAGCTAGAACCAATAGGAACTATGCTGAAATCAACAACTTTTTTTAAAATCAACTTTTAAGAGAAATACACTCTAAGAGTAATTTCTGTGTACTCATAATGAGTCTAAAGGTTATCTAGCTTTTGTTAGGAATTAAGAGCTGTAAAAAGTGGTTTTTAAATTCCTCTAAAATCGGTTGCCATTGAGTCAATGCTGACTCAAAACCAAGTAGAACGGCCCAGAAGGTTTCCATGGATGTCATCTTAATGGAAACAGGCTGCCATATCTGTCTTCCAAGAGCTAATAGGTTTTAACGTCAAACTTTGGGTTAGCAGCTGAGTACTTGATCACTGTGTCACCAGAGATCCTTCTAAATCCCCCTCTTCCTATGGAAATACAGGTGGGGGGTGGGGCACAACACATTAGCAAGAGTGGTCTTTAGTCGTGGGATGGTGGCTTTTCCTTCTAATTTTCACCGTTCATATTTCCCATGTCTTTTTTTTAATGAAGGGGAAGAACAAAAAACAAAACATCAAATTCATTGCCATCAAGTCAATTCCAACTCATAGCGACCCTTACCCTTTAAAATTGGGTAGAGCTGCCTCTGTAAGTTTGAGACTAAGTCTTTACAAGAGTAGAAAGCCTCATCTTTCTCTCTCTGATCAGCTGGTTGTTCCCAACTGCTGACCTTGTGGTAAGTAGTCTAATGCATAACCTGCTATGCCACCAGGGGTCCTTGAAGTGGGTGGGGCTTATATTTCAAAAAATTCTGAACCTCACAGCCTTTTCATATATTAATTTGATCCTCACAACACCAAACATAGAAATAATACCATATTCCCATTTAATCACTTTGAATCCTTTCTGGGACAGGCCAAAGTATAAACTAAACAGATAAAAATAAGAGGGCTGTGCCTATTCCAAATATGTAGAAACAGAAGTTAAAGCAAAGTAGAATGATTTCCTCAAGATTTCACACCCTGACAAAAGCAGAACTCAAATATAGGTTTTCAACCCAATGCCATGCCACGGCCACTCTTTCCTAGCTAGTCTAATTAAGGCACAAGGTTGATCTGTGAAGGTGGAGTGGTAGGGAAGGAAAGGCCGTTTGCTTTCAGGTATGAAAAACACTAACTACTTCCTGCGGAAGGGAGACTGTTGAGTGTTCCTCAAAACCAAAGTCACTGCCATCAAACTGACCCCCACTCAGAACAAGCCTAGAGGTCACAGGAGAATGGCCCCTGTGGGTTTCGTGGTGTTCGCCTTTCCAGGATCTGAGAGCCTCTTTCTCCTGTGAACAGCTGGTGGGTTCCAACTGCTGACCTTGTAGTTAGCAGCCCAACATGTAACTCATTCCACCACCAGGGGTTCCTGTGTTCTCAACAGGTAGTGAAAGGCCCTGAATAGGTGTGTGCTTCTCTCATCCAGTCCCCAAGTCAGCAGCTGTACAGCTACGAGTGGACCCCATATACGACCTTGAATTACATGGCAATGTAATATAAAAAGTGCATTCTAACCAAGGTTTGGAGATTAAAACACATATTTTGGCTGTGACTAATAAAATTAAGAATAAAAAGCATGCTAATGACCTTGAGCAGCCTGCTAACCAAGAGTCTTTAAAGTGTAGTGTTAGCTTTCTATGTTTAACTGCTTTAGAAATTTTTAAGATTATTAGGAACACATACCATCTAAGTCATAGGCAAAATTTGAATAGAGTCATGACCCTGAGGATGCTCAGCAGCAGCACACCCAAGCAGCTGCCAGCGGGGCAAGGGCAGATGCCGTAGAACACAGTGCACCGGGGACAGAATCACTGGGGGGCCTGACACCATAGCGTGAAGCCTCTGGACCAAAAGGTTAGGGAAAAGCAT